GAATTACCACCCACATAACCCTTCTGCCATTTTTGCGATACCTTGCTGGGAAAGTGTGGTTTGAGGCGAGTTGAGTTGGTTTTAATGGAGGTCTAGAATTTCGAGAATACTTACCATAGGAGATAAGGTTGGTGGAAATATAAAGATAAAAAGGTGAGAGACAATAGAAAGAGAGAGAGAGAGAGAGAAATAGAATGATTTTATAGGAAATACTAAGAAACTTTTTGTTTATGGTTAACAGGAAAAGGTTTTATCCCTAAAATTAAAAGAACAAACGAAACTGAAAAGGGGAAGCTGTGGAGGGAGATTAGGTCCTGGCTATGAAGCTCGAGTCTTTAGTAATATCTTTTTCTTGGTTCCATTTTCTTATTCTTCTTCCTACTGTGTCCTTTTCCCCCTCCATGTTTCCGTTCGTCTTAGAGAGCACTTTTCTTTTACTTATGGCAATGAGAGACTGGAAAATAAGGAAAACTTAAAAGATAATAGACAGAGAAATAAGAGACAAGGGCATGGTGCAGTGGTCAATGAAGTGGGTGCAAACCGTAGCCAGGGTACAAATCCCAACGGAGACAAATGACACTTGGTATCTGCGAAAACCTTGGTAGGTAGAGGTACCCGGTACCTGTGCTAGTGGGATGTAGCAGCTACTCGGTGGAATAGTCGAGGTGAACACAAGTTGGCCGGACACCACCATTATGATTTAAAAAAAGAGACAAGGAAGAAGCAAAAAATTAATCTATTCTCAGATTTATCTTGGCTTGGTTCCTTTATTAAAAAAAAGATATAGCGTCTCAGTTCTCTTTTCCATGAACTATACTAGGTAGTTTTTATTATTACCTGAAACTCCAAATTTTTGCGCTCAAGAAAATACTAAATACACAATAAAGTTCATCGATTTAATCAAACTTATATGGCAGCCCCAAGATCAAAATGGTAACAGTAGTCAACTCTTACTAAACCAGGCATGAAAACTTGACATGCGGGACATTCTTTTGATTGATTAAGATCAAATAAGAGTCAAAGAAAAACAAAATCAAGCTCCGACAGTAACACATGAATGCCTATTAACATGGATACACCATTTGAATACCACTGAAAAGCAAATTCCATAAAAAAGAAACACAATAAAAATCATTTGGAAGTTGATAAAAAACAGACTTCAACAATAATATGGTGGCTAATTCTCGAATCTACTAAGTATATATTTTAGCATGTGTGATCAACTGAAAATTTAGAAGTTAGCAGACATAAGCACCTAGTATTGTAGTCAACAATGTCATTTGATGGTTTGACCAATTTATCCAGTAGAACCTGCAAATGGTTAATGATATTAGCAACAGAAAAAGCAGTAGTCCTATTGATATCATCTGAAAGACCATCAGACAATTGATCACAGATCAAAATCTCTCGAAACAGGCCAGGGAGGTATACTTGACATCAAGTTGAGACTTTTGATGACCATACAGGAGGATAAAAAAAGCAAAAAGAACTTGGTAGACCATCGAATTCGCGTAAAACACATACAACGGAATAATAGCCATTAACACATGATGCATGGACCAATGGGCAATATAAATGTGCTAACTTGTTACATCTGTTCAAAAAGACGCCTGGATCACTACAGGTTTCAGCTATACAAATCAACAATCCCAACATATATGCAGTCTGATTCATATTAAACTATTGCAGATAGCCCAAATAGTGCGGGAAGGATATAGACGATTCATATAGGCGATCCCAACTAGATGGTATTGAGGTGTATTTTATTTTTTTTTGGGTGTATTTGATTGTTGATTGATTGATAAAGGGAAATATATACCTGCTGACTTGCTATATTTTTAACGAAAAAAGGTGCCTGGATCACAACAGTGGTCAACTACAAAAATAAGTAATCCTGACATATGCCAGCTGGTTCATATTAAAATAAAGTTTCCTGACAAGGCTGGTTCACATAAACTAATTACGGACCACCTCTCACAAAGGCAAAATGACCAATAAAACGTCAAAAGATCAGGATAAATGGCATTTCTACATAGAAAACAACTCACTATGGACAAACTACATGATGAGGAAACAACTTTAAACAGAATGGAACTATTAAAGTAATATAGAGATCACCTAATTGTCATGCAAGCGAGGGACGAAAAGTTGAGCAAGAAAAGAAATAAGATGAAGTACCTGTCCTTTAACATCCACTAGTGTCACTCTGGTAAGCTCAAAGCCTTCCCTTGTAATACACTACAAAGACAGATATTCTTAGTAAAATGAAATGAGCTTTGTTTGCAAGGCCTCCAATTTAAAGAACAATGAATCAATGATAAACAAGCATTTCCCCTGCTCCAGCCCAAAAAGGTAACGAGTTAAGAAAAGAAAAAATTAAGAACAGCAAGCATAACATATCTGTCAGCCTGCCTACAGAAGATACATCAAAAGTTATTGTTTTGGCTTCACGTGCAACACAAAGAAGCTTCTTGATAAAATGTATATGCAATAGCAAGCAGTGGAAGAGCCTTTCTATCATTGAATAACATTGATGAGACAAACCACACGAGGTTCAAAGCAAAGGCTATTTGCAGCGGAACACACTGATAGAAAAGTACGTTATACTTCTTGTACAATCTTGAGAACTCTAACTTCTTGTACCATCTTCAGAACTCTTAAGTCCAACTAATCTGAACACAACTTTTATCCCCATTACCTCAGAACTGATATTTTATATAATATACATCACTTTTGAATCACATAAACTGATAAATCGAAGTCTCCTCCCATCACCAAACTTGTCAAAGATATCTAGATGCAGTAATAGTTAAGCTACTATCTCATCTAAAAACATTACTAGTCATAATTAAAATCCCCACCATCTTCTCAAATATTTATCTTCATGGAGTAAGGAAATGAAGAGAAGCAGACAGCATCCTTATGCAATATAAGTACTTTAGAAATACTAAACCATAAGATTATGATGAACAGATAAAGTTAAATTGCTGTTAAGTTACCATCTCGCAGTCAAGGGCCAAAATTTCATGTGGAGATGTTCCTGAAGGAGCAGGGAGCGTTGAAAGAAATTCTACATGGGTAATGAAAAACCATGGTAAATGTCAATAATCTTAATGAAATAATTCAATAAATTTCAAGTTCTTGGAATGCATGTCACCTGGTTGGTCATAACAGTATCCATTTTCTTCTAGTTCCTTATCCGTAAGTGTGTAATAACTGATGGGAAATGGTATATCCTTTTTGAGGTCAACAAAAGATAGAGGCTCCGTAGTGGGAGTCTCAGCACCTGCATGAATAAGGGGATGATTAAGGCGTGCTTGGAAACTTGGGTATTATCGAAACACAACATAAGAGAGTGGAAGGGGGAAAAGAAGTTCCTTTTTGATTTATGACTGCTCCTGCGTGCATATAATACCCTCCCCTTAAAAAGATCCACTTTTCAAACAAAGACCTATTTTTGAAAATCTCCATGACTTATAATTTTAAATATCTGCAATAGACCTCAATGAAATATAATAGTTCTAAATCTTATCTTCTTGTTACTTGTCAGATCTTTGGAGATAGCCTATCTTCAGTATATAAAAACTAGGCACACCATTATTAAGTTCATATATTGCAAAAAGAGTCGCATTTTTGTTTATTCATGGAAGAGACAAGGATTCAACATTTTACTGATATTTACAACTGCTACTAAAGTAATTCTATCCTTCATGCTTTGACCTTTAAACATCGTTGAAGATGGGGAAAGAAAAAGTCATTATTTTCAACTCCTGCTCTTGAGTTTGCATATCTGGAAAAAGTTTGCTGCGGCTCCAAACAGGATGTTTGCTCAAATCAGTCACTATGAGCATTTTTTTCAATCACTAGGGTTGCAAATAAGAATCAATGTGGTAACAAGTGAATGGCGTATTAGACAATATGCTTTATGCCATCACTCGACAAACCTGCTATGTCACAAGAGACGAGAAACTATAGGCAAGTATCAGACCATATTGACTAACCAGAGCACAAAGAGCACAATTGAGAACTGTTCAGAAGAATCTTTAACTGTTAAATTCAGTTTTTGGGGTTGTCAGCAGTGCTCTTGTCTGAATTAAAACAGGCGAAAAAAGCAGAGAGCAGTTAAGCAAATCCAAATTAAATAAAATCAAGCAACTTGTCTATTTCTGAAAAGTCTTGGTAGAGTATTCACCCAGTTCTCTAATTTAACAGCCAGCAGAAAATCTAACCATTCTAGCAGGAACCATCCATGAAGCTTCTCTAAAACTCATAGGGGGCAAAAAGTGTAACATAAACAGATCTTAGAAAGGTGCACACAAGGTTATAAATTACAACATAGAACAGAGCAGTCTTGTTGATATAAAGTTGGAAGAGAATGTGCCTGCTTTACCAGGCATGTCGTTTCTAGACCTCCTTCCACAAGCAAATGAACCTCTACCATCTTAAAACTAACCAGAAGTGGAGCCACAATAACAAAGGAATTGCAACAAAGACTTTTAGAATTTTTCTTGGATCAGACTCGGACCTTGTTCAGAAGACTCGGTGTTTCTTGGTGAAATGTGCTCAGCTTCTTTTCTTTTCCTCTTTGATTTGTACGTAAGGAGTGCATCTATTGTCTGATTTCCATCTGATACACAACTACCATGACAACAGCCAATAATAATAAGAAAACCATAATTTCCATTGACAGAAGAGTACCAAAAAGTTTAAAAACAAGTAACACAAGAGTTATAAGATATTGATTATTCAAACATTAATGTATAAGCAACCTGAGAGCTAAAACTGGCCTCGGAATACCACAGCATTCTTTGAAACCTTTGAGCACTTTAGACTGTGATAAATATAGAGCGGCATCAAGGCCAGGAACATACAGCATAACCACTTTAGGGATCAAAGGCTTGTTCTGCATGCAAAAAGAAGGAGGGAAAGAAGTAACTACATTCAGCCTCTAAGGAAGATATTATTCATCAGAAAACTGATTCGGACCATCCAAAAGCCAAACAAGTACCTTCATTAACTAAATTCTATCTCCCTACATGTCAAATCACAAATGTGCAAAATATTAAAAGTTCAGGATGTACAACACCTCGAATCTCATATGACAAAAGACCCAACAGCAAGTAAAACCATAACCATTTCTTTAGTATTATCAAAATTTCATTGATTCTGTTTCAAATAGAGCTCGAACTCAAGTAAGAAAATCTTCGCAACTAACTCATTCTCCTAATGACTCACAATGACATCTAAGATACTGCAACTATGTGTGCTGATGGTAGATTCTGTATATTCATCACAGTAACATAAAAGTCAAAAACAGGAACTAATATTTGAATTATCTACGAATAAAAAATAAAGCTGAGTCTAAGACTGCATATTAGTAAATGAAGGGTAATTTCGAAGACTGCAAATTACTAAATGAAGGGAAGCGTACAAATGTATTTTTGTGAATTCATACAGGTATTTGCTACATACAGCAAAATATGTCAATGTGAACACCTAAGATGGGAAATAAGTCCAAAATTGATTTCTTTCTTTTTTTCTTCCCTTTTTTTGATAGTCCATAATTTCTATAATATAAACACCAAATCCGTGTCAGCAGATATTTACAAGTTGTCAATGTGACTCAACTGAGTCAGAATGGTATTCTTTCCTTACACCAGACTAACAATTAAAAATGATCTTTCATTTCACATTGTCCCCGCTATTTTGGACAAATCTTCGATTTCTTTCATTCTATGTGTCAAGAAGAGACATAAAGGAGACATGACTTATTTCTTTTCAAATGGGTGGGTCAGTAAGTGAATCTAACAGCACATAATTGCACAAATCAGATACTCCATATTGATTTATATAACCATCCACATACTTCTTTAGATTTCAACTATCTGTGTCTAATACCATAATGTAGGTCACTAGCAAAACCTAGATCATCTATCTAGTCTGGAGATGCAAATGAACAGTTAAGGTTATCGTTCTTCAGTATAATCTAGACCACCTAACAAAGAATCATTGTTGGCTAGGTTATTTATACATCTGCGTCATATATATATAAATAATCCAGCAAGCAATGAATCCTTGAAAAGGACTCCGGTTGAATGATAAATCTCAGGGTAAGGACATCTCAACCTGTCCTCACCAGATTTTCATCGAAGGATTACAAAAGAGCGAATATACATATAAAGAGACACACGAAAAAACACGCAAAGAAATGCATGAAATGCATTACTTTGATAAAAGCCCATGACGGCATGAACCCATCAGCAAGCACCCACGTGACAAGACCTTGCACGTCCTGTATTATCACATTAAGCATGATAAATCAACTTCTAACCTCTTGTAAAATAAGAACAAATAAACTCGATCAGTATGTTATAGAACATACTTGAAGGTTCAAGGTTGAGTTGGATTCTGGTTGATTGAAAACAATATCTGCTCTCCCCTGCATCACACTCAAAACTTGAATACCAATCACACAGACATTTATACACAGTTCAACCAACATGCATGTATCGAGTTATAGTTTCTCTTGCACAATGACATATATTAACGGATCAGACACAACTACTCTGGAAAATTTAACAACATAACCACTGTCTCCAAAACAAACACAACAAAAATAACTACCAACCACCAAATGGAGAATGATGCTCACAACAGGAATAGCATGTAATGGCGGTCCAAATTTTCAATAACACATATATTAATTTTTCCAAACAACATTCCTCTTCTTCAGGAGAGCAACTTAAAAGGTCTAGACAATACAACCCGCTTAAATGAAATCAGTCTGCAAATTGCAAAAGATAGTTCTTTTATCGGTTTTAAAAAAGATACATTCTTTTCCCACTTTTCTAGACTCGTCTCTTTTCTCCATTTTGAGTTTCTATCAGAACTAATTCTTTTCCAAAGTTAATGCCTTTATAACCAATTTCAATCTAATCCACAATCAAAAACATATCCCCTGATAGCACTAATTTCTCACTAGCAATTATCTCCGTTTCTCTCACCAAAGATTCCTCTTTTAAAATTAAAAAAGGCTTTCTTAAAAAACAATTCCTCTTTTAAACATTGAAAATCCAGCCAATACAAACCAATTAAATTAACTCACCCCACAAGCTCTAAAAAGGTTTTCTTCCCTTTTCTAATTTTTTTCCCCTTCACTCTTTTCTCCCTTCTGGTTTTCTACATAAACCAGTAAACTAGTGCATTAATAACCAAAAATCCATGAAATACAGATTACTCAA